TTTTAGTGGAAGGAATGAATCCAAATATGGCTAATCAACTGAAAAAAGCTATCATGGATGCACTGCCATCATACCTTGCAGAAATGCATGCTCATGACGATCATGCGGCTGCAGATAGCATCCACTATGAGGTAAATCGTGGAGAAACTTTAATTACACTTTCAAAATAATTCCGACTATACAAGACCATCCGAGTCCCATGTGGAAAAAGTTCTGTAAATATGCTGATTCTGTGACTGGACATTTGCTTTGCCTCTACATGAAATTCACAATCGCAAACTCCCAAAGGAATTGCTAAAAAATTATAGGAGCGAATTCTTTCACGGTCGTTCAAAATTCTTTAGAGTATGAAAAAAATTGTGCGAACCTGTGCTATCTTTCAGGAAAGCAGCAACCCCTCTCTGGATAATCACTCTCCATTAACAGGTAAGTAAATGCTTAGGAAGTTTGCAATCCGTGGATTAACTTCTTACCTAATGAACTAGCATTATTATCGTATCTTCAGATGAATTACACCCTACAGCGAACAATCAGGAGGATGATGCATTTTGGATTAGAAGTGGTAAATAATCACCTTTTTACAGTAATGTCTCCCTTGTAAGTTTTCTGTCCCATCTCATTTATCACTTTTAGATCTCGAAAATTTCTTCGTGAAAATCGTCTCGGACTCTACAACCTCAACTCCTGCTCAAAATAACAACAGTAGCTCAAGCGGAGAAGATTCTCATAGTGAATCGCCTACTTCTGAAATGTTTGTATAGCCCTGTAAAAAAATCTATGATGTATGTAAAGGAATAAAGATTTGAAGCTTTGCTTGGAACATATGCATTTTCCTAGCATAATACGTAGGGTTTTTTGCTGATCAGAGATTTACATTTCGCATCCTACGAAACTCTAATCTACGAAGAGGACCTAAGGTGGCTTAGATAGAATCCCAAACGCTTTGGCTGAATGGGAGAAAATTCATCTTCATGAATACATTTTTAATCAGTGTAGGCAATTCTGAGCCCTCTTTAACGCGACCATGGTAATGGATAAACGACATGTGGTTATTTTTGAGTGAAAAGCATTGCCCAATGTTTAAAATAATCAACACATATTGAAGCTAAAAGTCCTTTACACCTTCAGCGGTTGTTATCTCAACAAGTAGCATCTAGGTAGTATGGTTGTGGTAGTTTATAGAAGATACGACATAGAAATCACTGAAAGTCTCAAACTATATTTTTATACAAGTTTGAGCGTCAGATGTAATATCTATTACTCAGGTGATTTTTGACTGGGAAGTTGTAATAAATCTTTGAGCAGACTATTCAATAGAGTTCACTAGGCAATTTTCCAAAGCTAAATCAATATCTACGAACCTGATTGTAAAGGTTTATAAGTTCGTTCTGAGTGAGCTAAGAATGCGTAGCTCCGAAGGAATGGTAGAAACAGCTCGAATTAGAGACTGGCACAACTTCGTAAAGCTAGGAATAAATAGCGTTGACGGTAAAGTCGAGGTCAGGCATTTTGAAGATCTACCATATACTCAGTGGATGAAAAGACAATTGTAAAGGTAGCCGATGATCTCCAATCATTAACATGGAATCGATCCATGCCTCGGCAAGGTTTGCGTTAGCCTACCTCTTGAATTTTCTTCTCATGCAGGTTTTGTTAAACTCTTTTTATGTTGTATTTTTGTCATTTGAACTTGCACTCGTGCATTTCTTTTTGAAAATCCTCTGATCGATAAGAGTGATTTAGTAAATTAGTGGCATCAAATGCCATCTGTCACCGTTATAATCACACTACTAACACTAGTGACCTCTACGGCTACTCTCAATGTTCTGAGTAAGTTCACTAATTCTTTGTTTCCCTGACTTTTTTCAAATGGAAATATCTGTGCTTTAGTATGGAGTAGTACAATGGGACAGAGTCACATAAATTTCATTGGCAACATCGCTGATACTTTACAGGAAGATGGCCACAATGTGGTGCGTTCAACTCAGATTTATCTGAAGGGATAGAAATAAGCGTCTTTAAATGTTTTATACTGCAGACATTATTATTCGTTGAGCTTGACCCAGATTATACAATAGATACCGGTACGAATCTCGTCAAACATATAATAAGGTGATAGTCGACAAAACTGCTTACTTTTTTGATGATTATTTTTTGCAAAACTTTTCCAGGTATAGCTCACCGTACTACAATTCAGCCGACTGGCGTTCATTAACCTTTAAACGGCCTACAGTATTCAATTCAATACTTGGAATGAACTTTATTGATTTAATTAAAATACAAATGTACACATACAGGATTTGTAGAGGTAGGTTCGTTGAAAAATTATTTTACCTTTCTTACTGATTGATGGTTTGACAATGACTAGAAGATTCTAAATTCTCGCTGACAGTTTTAAGGGCGCTTTCTTCAAGTTTCCAATTCTCTTTTGGATCTTTCCTTTTTCCAGTTTTAAAAGAATTAACTAAGAGTTAACCTATAACCTTTTTAGGTATGCTAGAAGATCCTCGACTAATCCCACTATTGCGGGATTCGAAATTCGACTTAGGAATTTTTGAGATGTTCCACAGTTGTCCAGCTGGCATAATGGAGCTGGCAGGTAAGGTGCTAGGCTACTCTTTATGGTAAAAGGTCTAAACTGTCAGGAATACCCAAGACCATGCTGGTATCAGCAATTGGTATTGGTTACCAACACTATCGTCTCCTGGGCATGGAGAAGCAGTCGAGTTTTGTTCCAGGTGATCATTTTCTTTATAAACTCATAAATTTATCAAATCACGCTTTCCAGACAACTATATAAAATGTGGTGCACGGATGTCATTTTTGGAACGATTGTATAACGTTTTTATCAATGGATGTGGTAAGCTTCTGAACTTCGCTTTTCCATCCAGGTTCATCTCACATTTCAGCTTACATATTCGCAAATATTTTTGAGTACTGTGAACAATCTCTGTTCGAGGAAAAATTCCCAGGTTTTAGGAGTTTGCACGATCTGATCAGGGTAGGTCATCCTCGTGTAACTCGGGCGCTATTTTTGGTTTTTCGTCCATTTTTTAAGCTAAAAACTCTTTAACCATGACACGTAAACGTATTCCTTTCGAGATTTTTGAAAATCTTCGATGCTTTTTACAAGTGGTTGGCTACCGAACAGTAGACCTAGTTCTCGCAGATAAATAATTTTTGAAAAATTAATAGCTACTGCTTTTTGCGTAAAGGCCCATTATGATGCGCAATGTGAGAGCTACCACATTTTTGTTGTCATAATGCTCCCTTTTTCAAAAAAA